GTCATCCATCATCCGCGGCCAGTCCATCAGCATTTAATGTGGCAGAAGCCGCGCCATGGCCATCCGGTGGAACAGTCTTTAGCAAGACCTGTACGGCCTGTTATAGTAATTTGAAGGGAAAGGTGGCAGGTGGCATGGAAAAAATGTTAAATTATTAATAAGATATATTGCCACTGAGGATTGATGAGTGAAACTGTTGTGTATCAATCTTACGAGAGGACCCACTGGCTGGACAAAAAATTTAACGAAAGAAAGTGCGAAGGATGACTCAAACAATGAAGCGTCAATCCAGTTGGTAACGGTCGAAAGCCACCCGTGTGGTTTAAGAAAAACGCCTATAAAATATTGTCACAATGATACACGAGTCAGAATTTAAGCACTCGAAATCACAACTTGGTAGCAGGTGCAATAAAAACGAGCGAACCAACTAAATGAATTGAGAAATGGCAAATGAGATAGGAAAGAAAGCAATTCGTGCTTGCACGGATGTGTGGAATTCGACACTAATGAATGAAAATCAAAATCATACAGTCAACTTCCAAGTGCAAACCGTAAACAAAAACAATTTAATTAATAAATTGCCTTAATATCTAAAAGAAGAAGGCAAAGAGCAACGAGAAAGAGAAGGCGAAGAAAATAAATTAGAATCTGAAGGAGAAGCAAACACAGAAGAAAAACAAGCATAAGGAGAGAGTGCAAGAAACGAAGAAGAGAACGACGGAAAATGATGAACAGAAAGAGACAAAGGAGAAGAACGAGAAGAAAGGAATTTGACAGGTCGCTAAAAATGGGAGGAAAAGGATAAGCGAGAAAAGAAGAAGCAAAAAAGACCAAGAGCAATAATAATAATATGTTGATTTTCGTTGTATGTTTAAGTTTTAACGCTGATGATCTTCACCGTTATCCTCATCCTCCGTTCTTCGGAAAGAGGCGTCGCCTGAGGATTGGAAGTGCAGTTGTTTACCGATGATAATCATTCATATAAGGAACGTTTCAGATATGCATGTTCTTGTATCGAAAAACTGTCATGGCGTCCAACATGACTCCGGCTCGCACTGATCTTCACACTTGTACACGGCTGTCTTTCATCAAACCGCCTAAAATGCTGTCGCGCTGAGTTCACATTTTGTGCAGGTTTCGATCGTGATGAGAGTAATTAACGCCGCTCAAGCGAACGGACTGTTTTTCTCCTGCTTCTTGTTCGAAAAGAACCTCATATGAAAACGCCTGAGTTCCGCCAAAAAGGGGGACTTCTTCAACAACTGGGAGGAAGAAAATCGAACGAGTGCAGAATGGTCTGGTCGATTACGAAGCCGTGGGCAAAGAATGGAATGCGCACGAAGAGTGGTATGCAGATTTTTTATATATTTACAGCAATGAACCGTCTCACGTGCACGATTTACGCACGATTTCGGCGTATTAGAGGCAGTTACGGCAGTCCTGATCAACAATTTGACAACAATTGATGCCAGTCCAGTTTTCAGTCCAACGTCGAGGTATGGCGACGGTCAGCTGAGATGATGGCGACAGTCGAAAAGAAGCTGGCGATCACCCAGTCGTCCCCCTGCTGCGTCCACGCCGAGGAGGTAGCTTGGAAACGAGGCAACGAGGGCTCGATGCCGTGTCTATGACCTCTTTTACTTTCAGGCTAGCAGGTCACTTCCGCTAGCAGAAGACAAAAACAACTCGTGCGATTATGGTGACGAGGCGTGCGGCCGACAACAGCCCAAAGGTCAGCTGACGGACAGATGGACCTTCTGGCATTTCAAACACTTCTCTGCGGATACCTGGAATTCAGACAAGGACTGGCTTTTCTGCAAGGAGATCGCTCCGGTACACACCATGAGGGACTTCATCACGTGAGTGTTTCGTTTTTGCTGCAAGAT